TTTTCGAATTATAGCTTGTGACAGGTTAAAATAATTTCGGCCCGTGGAAATTGTGCATGAAATGCATTGATAGCTGCTTTCTCAAATCAACAATGATTTTGGTCGTCGGGTTAGCATTTGGGAAAATGATTTTTAACACTTTCAACATTCGAACGTATGTCTCTTGTCTCCTAATAGGAAATATACGCAGAGAGGATAGGATGCTCTCACTCTACAGTGAATTGTATACAACTGGAAGAATATATTGGGCCTCACATCAAATGTACCGTCGCCAAGATATGTGTCACCATCTAGATGTGCAAGTAGTGAACGATCTCCAATGGCAATTATCCGATGACGATCCTCCAGGCCTGTATGCAAAATGATATCTGAATATTTGCTCGAAATATTAAAGCTAATACTTGTAGGATTCGTTTGAGAACATTTTTTCTGACGCCCTACACTCTTTGTATATTTGCCTCCAGAGTCGAATTGCTTAGCAAGCGCATGAGTACATCTGTTGATCTGTTATTCAATACTTAAATATATATCTTGTCTATGTATTCGATAGTGTTGATGCTGTTTGTTTTAATGGTGCACGAACGATCCCAACTTCCGTGTTAATGCTGTCGCCAAAATGACTGTGATATCCTAGTTCTTCTGAAACCCGATCATTTCGCTTACAATATTCGCGGCCTTTGTAGATCAGTAAGCCGTTTGTTTCCTCTTGAGGTCTTGAAAAATGTAAGCGCCATGTTTCCAACTTATTTTCGCAAAAGGACTTGTCATCTTCGCAGCGGCAACGTCCTAAAGAAACAGTTTGGAATTGTCAGCGAGGGAAAAAGGGCATTGATGCGAGGAAAAACTTTGTGCGGGATGGAACTAACTCATCAATTAAAATCCCTGCTCGATTGGCACCCCTGCCCACTTCAAGAGTTGTTGACCGTTTAAAACACAAATCATACTCCCAATTTTGGCTCGCATTCCACCGTAGAACATTTTGTCGATTGAGTCTTATAATATTGACAATTGCAACGAAAATGACAGACGGAGTATAATATAAATATATACGACCAAAAAATAGTTTTAAAAAGCTTTTCGAGTATATAATCGAGAATTCCATGGTTATAGTGATTGTTTTTGCAACGTATGTATTGGGAGAAAGAATCCTGAGCTGTACCTATATAGAATGGAAGGATAAGGGTGTATATGTAAATACAGTACGCTAATATCCGTGAATGCAAATGCCCCATGGGTATAGATGTTCATGGATGCAAATGTCTTTGGTGCAATTGTACGTGGGTGTAAAAGTACGCGGGTGCCAAATGTTATGCGGGTTCAAATGTATGCGGGTGTAAATGTCCAGGATGCAAATGTAAATGGGGGGTGTAAATGTCCAGGGTGCAAATGTACATGGGTTCAAATGTACGCAGGTGCAAATGTTCATGGGTTGAACTGTACACGGGTACAAATCTCCAGGGTGCAAATGTACATAGGTCCAATCTATATGCGGGTGCAAATCGACATGAGTTCAAATGTACGCGGGTGCAAATGTTACATGGGTTCAAATCGTCCGCGGTTCAATCTATATGCGGGTGCTAAAATCCATGGGTGGAAATGTATGTGTTCAAATGTCCCGTAGGTGCAAATGTCCATAGGTGCAATAGTATGCAGGTGCAATTGTCCTGGGTTCAAATTACGGGTGCAAATGTACGTGGGTTCAAAGATAATGGAACCATATTTCAGAATATAGGCCACTTTGTGATGAGTCTTTACAAGAAGCCTATAAGTGTATAACGTCAGAACGTGTCGGGCGGTGACACTTTGGGCTCTTTATTTTCTTAATCTTATAACCTGTCAGGTTTCTCGAAATTAACAACTCGGAAACTTTGATCTTGATTGAAGTCTTTTTGCAGTCGGTGAAATACCCAGTCTACATGCACAAAGTACGACATAGACAAATATATCTCACGAAAAACCACGAAATAGAATATGATAGAAACAATAAAGTGGTAGAAATGGATATTGCAGCTGTAGAAATGGGTTCCTGAAGTTTACGACCAACGCACCAGGCAGGTTGACAACATATTTTATTAAATTAGCAAATACTGTATTGGGTAAACTAAACCCTATCAGTTGAGTAAACAATCTGCTTAAGGCAAATAAATTAATGATAACTAGTATTGCATTCAGTGAATCTGTCTTCCTGCTGTTTCTTAGTTTGTTTTTTTCACAGTTTATTGCACTAAATTATTTTCAGCATTTAATCGACGTAGTAACATTGCTGGCTTACATTGCTGTTGCCGTGTTTTTGTTCCACTTTCTAGTTTTGTTATTTTCTTGAATTTCAAATCCCATTTACATATTAATTTTTGCATTTCACTATTATTGCAATTTACTGTATTTATTACAAAAAATCATAAATTTTCATGTACACTATCCAAAACATTTTCGAACAAAGATTTGATAAGGAAAAAATAATGCATACACTAAAAACGACTCAATCTAAATATTTAGACCTGAAATTTACAAACATACTACAGAATAAACTCAATCTTTTTCATTTCATATGTCCTGACGTTTGGCAATTCTTTTGTGCCACCAGCTTACTAATATCAGGGTGAAATGATTTCACAGTACCATCTCTAATTAACGAGGTGACATGATCATCGGTTAATCTGGATCGTTGAGAATATTCGATTAATTTCAGTATTGCAAAGATATTACGTTTATCATTTCATGTATAGATCAGTAAACAAACAAATGACTGACTTTTCGGACCTGACATTTTCCGCGTTATTTCCTACCATTACGTGGCATAGGACCGAGTTATGATTGATATTGATTTTTAGTAACTAGGTAGTTGTATAATTATTATAATAATTAACAAACACATAAAAAATTTTCTGTTCGAAGTTGATCTTCAAATTTTTCATATTGACTGCTGAGCTTATTTTGATAATGTCTACTTGTATTGTATTCTTTTATTGTACTATTGGAAATGTGACAAATTAAACAATGTGCTTCAGAATTTTGAGAAACGCAGAAATATTGCATCTCCCATTTTTCTTCAAACCTTTTTCGTGTACTTTGCGTTTCATTTAATTCCCGAAGTTTTTTTTTTCAAGCATTCTTTTGCTATTGCACTTTAAAAGGTTTGAAAAATGTATTACATTTAGATAAAAAACCATGAGTTGTCTTTTTGTTTATTTGGTCTGTTGTAATATATTCGTTTCTGACTTTTTTTTTTAAATTTTTTTTTGGTGCCGGGGGGCGATGATGTTGTATAAATTACTGCAGGGAGGCGATGGCACAAAAAAGTTTGGGAACTACTGTTCTATACTATCTTAATTGCCGATTTCCATGTCTGAATAAGATTTGGGAAGAGATGTGTTGAACTTATGTGGGTTGTATATATGGCTTGGAATTTAGGCATTGTGTCATACCATATTCGTTGGCTTGGTGAGCCACATGCTTGGATAAAACTTTGCCCCAGGGGAAAGAAGTAACCAGTGACTTTTGTTGAAATGTAGGTGGGGGTTCGTGAATAAATTTACCGCACCACGGACAACCGTGATCGGCCGACTATATATATATATATGTCCAGATCAACGACTAACATACCAGATACTGTTACGCTTACCGGCAGATTTGCTAATTTTTCAAAGTTCGCAGTTACTTACATTTCTAATTAACTCAAAATAGAAGAGTATCGATACCACCAATACATGGATATAAACAAAACTTCGAGAAATTTCTTGGATTCGCTGATATATATTGTAAGCCGAACGAAGTGTGTTGTCTGGGGGAAAATTCTTTCAAAAGAATAAGTATAATCATTGCAAAAATAAAACTACGCGCCGATTAACCTGTAGAATATTTTTAACGTAAATTGAAGCTGTAATATTCAAGGTCTTGAATCCAAGTAACACAGGCTTCAATTGCTCACAGAATATATTATATTGCATGAAAGTAAATAGAAATACAACATACGTCCGTCGCTCACCGAGAGTAGTTCTAGAATGTTCTGTCATGTGGCCTAAACTAGATCACCAGATGTACTCATATTATTACGTCATAGACCAAATATAAGACATAAAATATAGCAGTATTCCATGGACATTACATCCCTCCCTAACTTAAATCTGAAATTTATCACATTAAATTTCACTTGGGAATATGCATAACCTAGAACATTTCACACATAGCTGTCACAAATGTAAATCAAGTATAAGCAATATGTTATGACACTAGATAGTACTTGGCTAACCTAAAATTTCCATTCATGAAATATTTGTCTGAAATAGTTATCAAGCACACTTATGTATCATGCAATAAACTTAAAAATGAAATATAGTACTGTGATATTGAAAAGTTAACACACTACAATGAAATACACTTCACAAAGTAATGAAATTATAACAATCAAAATTCAGGCATAATCAACTTTATACATAACAATTTATCATTAATTGACTACACCCTTTTGTAAGTGTAACACAATCACAGTTCATTTCTTTTACACAGCTTGGTAATGTTTATATACAGTCTATTCATGTTTGATCAAGCTTGATATCATAGTTTCAAAAATAGTGTTAGTATTAGTAAGTCACCAAGCTTGATATTGCTAAACAGTCCATAATATTTATGTTTTCTCAGTACAGTCCTTGAAATAAATGTTCATTTATACAATTTATAATCTCTGAAGCGTTTAGGCAGTTTGATTGAACGCTTTGATTTGCGATGAGCCACTATCTCGTTATGAGGTTGATCATTTGAGAAACTAGATGAAATCTGCTCATCAGCTGGAGAATCAGATTCATTTGATGCCTCAGGGAATTATATCAGCAGCCACTTCCATTTCATCTGATATTCAGGAACATGAGTCTGAAATTGTCGATCATTCACCTTTTTAAACTGAGATATATTTCTGGTTTTGTTACCCAAACCAGGACTTCTTGCAGTAACCATACTTCCCTTCACAGCAACAACAGTCATAGGCTCTGGGTTATATGCTGGAGTTAACTTGTTATGTCTTCTTTGTCGAACCAACACCATGTCACCAATATGCAGTTGAGAAGCAGGTCGTGTGCAAAGTCTCTTATCAGCATACCTTTTCTGTATGGTTTCTGTTTCGAATCACATTCTCGCAATTCTTTATCATCTGCAACTTTTATTACTTCAGGAAATAAAACTTTAATATTTCTTCCATAAAGCAGTTCAGCAGGAGCTTTATGTGTTGTTACATGTGGAGTCGCTCTGTAATTTCTTAGAAATTTATACAATTCTTGTTTCCATGATTTTCCTTCAACTGTAGCAGTTTTGATTGCTTTATTTAGTGGTTTCATGAAATTTTCAGCTTGGGCATTTCCTCTTGGCCATAACGGAGTTATTTTCTGATGATGAATTCACAGTAGTCCATGAATCTTTTAAATTCGTGACTTTGAAACGGTGTTCCATTATCTGTCTTGAGCACTTCACAAAATCCATGTGTAGCAAATATTTTGTCAAAGATTGGAATCACGCTACGAGCTGATGTCGATTTTACGAGTTCAACTACAGGAAATCTTGAGTAGTTGTCAATGACTACCAAGAGATAATCACCACTAGGATACGGTCCACAGAAATCAGCACTAAGAGATTTCCAAACAGCTCTTGGCAATTCACTCATTCGTAAAGGTTGGAATCTTTCATCTTTTGTAACAGCGGCACAAGCTGGGCAATTTTTTATGTAGTTTCCACCATTGAGTCAATATTAGGAAACCACAACTTTGCTCTAATCAATGCTTTTTGTTTTAGCAACTCCTTGATGTCCCTCATGTGCTATGGAGACCATTTGCTTTCTCATCTTCACAGGAACTACTATACGATGTCCACGAAGAATTATGCCTTGTTCAGTTATGCTCAATTCACTAGATAAACTTTCAAAATTTCGCATTTCTTCACAGTTTCGATAATCTTGCATTTTCCAGAAACAATGCATTTTTCACATTTTGCATCATAGGGTCATTGAAAGTCTCTTCTTCTATTTCTTTTAGTGTGATCGCTTTTGGACAAGCACTTTCACACACATAGTTCAGAAATTCTTCTGCAATTTTCAGATCACGGTTATTCTCTGCTTTCGATGGATGACGTGACAAATAATCTGCTGGATTATTCGCTCCAGGTCTGTATATCACAACAAAAATCATATTGCTGTAGTCGTAAAACACCATCTTTCTATTCTTGGAGAAGGCTTTGCAGTAACATTTGAAAATATTACTAACCAATGGTCTGTGTCAGTAATAACATTGAATTTCATTCCATATAGGTACAAGTGAAAGTGTTCAACTCCCCAACGAACAGCCAGTGCTTCACGTTCGATTTGAGAGTAACGAGTTTCAACATCATCAAGACTTCTTGATGCATAAGCAACAACTTGTACTTTTCCACTTTTTGAGCTTCTTTGTGTCAAAATTGCTCCTATTCCGAATGGCGATCCATCTACAATTTAATTCAGTCTTTAGATCAGGATCAAAATATGACATAACCGTGTCACTTGTTAGATTTTCTTTCAACTTCAGCCAGGCACTTTCACATTCATCACTCCAGATGAAATCAGAATTTTTCTTTGTCAATTCCCTCAGCGGCTTCACAAGAATTGCTAAATCTTTAATGAATCTTGAGAGATATTGCGCCATGCCTAACAAAGACTTCACTTGTGATTTATCTGTAGGTCTGAAAGCTTCTTTGAGTGCTTTAATTTTCTTTGGATCAGGAGACACTCCACGTTCACCAAAAATATTACCATAGATGATTTGAAAAACTCACATTTTCTTTTATTAAGCGTAAGACCTTTTTCTTTGATTCGTTGTAAACATGCTCTGATATGCTTCTCGTGACCATCATCATTTTTGCTAAAAATATAGATGTCATCCGAAATATTCTTCACGCCTTCTAGTCCTTGAAGAACTTGTTCAATTATAAACTGGAATTTTTCAGTCGCTGCATTCACCCCGAAATTGAGACGTTTATGTCTATGGATCCCAAGGTGTGTACTGAACGTTGTAATATATCTGCTGTCTGGGTGTAACTCTATTTGATGGTATCCTTGATTTAAATCAAGTTTTGAAAATACCTTGCAACCATTCAGGTCATGAATTAGCTCATCCATTGTTGGCATTGGATGTTTCACCCTTTTGATAGCTTTATTCGCAGCTCTCATATCCGTACACAATCGAATATTATCAGGATCACTGGATTTAGGTACCACAACTATAGGAGATACCCACGGAGTTGGTGTATTATCCACATCTTCACAGATATCATTTTCATATAGCTCTTTAATTGCCTTTTCCACTTTAGCTCTGGTTTTAAATGGTACTCTTCTGTGTTTTGATGTACTGGATCCACAGATTCATCGATGTTCAGCTTTAACTGGTATCCTTTGAGTTTTCCGACACCATGAAATATACTATCATACTCTGACAGAATTTCCTTTGTACGCTTTTCTCGTTCATTTTCAACGGAATGTATAATCTTCAGTATTCCAAGTTGTTCTGCTGTGTCATTGGACATTAAACAACCTTTGGCATGTTTCATTACATAGAAATCAGCTGACAGTTGCTGGCCATCATTTGACTTCACATTTGCAGCAAATTTGCCAATTAACTGCAGTGGTTTTTCACTACCATAAGCAAATAACTTTGTATCAGCAGGACACAACCTGCAACATTTGGAAGTATTCCTCCGTATTTCTTGATACGCTTTGTTGTCTAGGATGTTAACACTAGAACCACTGTCAACAATAAAACAGCATTTAACACTATTAACATCCACTTCAACTGTTGGAAGCTTATTACAAATCTGAGACTGTTCAACCTTCATTGAGTATTCAGAATTTGCACAACTTTGAGATTCAACTTTACTTGAGTTCTTTGAGCTTGCTTTCAAATTATTAACAGAACGTGAAAACTTCTTCTGTTTTGGCTTCCTACAAAACTTTGCAAAATGACCATAATCATTGCAATTAAAACATTTTCGCCCTTTAGCAGGACACTGACCTTTGTGTGGAAACGAGCCGCCACAATAAAAACAAATTTTCACTGAGTAATTGTTTTTCTTGCGTGTTTTGTTTTGGTTCACTGATTTGATCCGATACGCATTCTCCTGTGCAGTTTCTTCAGTGTTTCCTTCCATCACAGACAGATGAGATTTTGCCAGTTCCATTGCTTTACCATTGTCGAGTAGGGTTTTTAAATCCATCTTTTTGCTTAAACATTTTTTCCTTAATTCTGACGATTTGCATCCCTGAATTATTTGACTTTTGATTTCCCCTTCTACCTTTCAGGATCGAACTCACAATTTACAGCCATTTTCTTAAGTCGTGTACAAAATTGATCAAGTGACTCACCCTCATGTTGTTTTGTGTTGCGAAACAAATAAATTTCGTACTCACTATTGGCTTTGGGAACAAAATATTCGGTCAATTTTCTTCTTGTATCAGCAAAAGTATCATTTTCCTCCTTCAAGGTTTCATAAATATCGTAACATTGCTCACCCATGTAGTGCAACATTAGAGATTTCTTCCTTTGCTTATCTTCATCAGAATCTTTGATATTCATTGCAAGTGTCAAGTTATCAAATCGTCCAAGCCATTTCTTCCATCTTGGTCCGGCACTTGACAAATCAGCGCAATCAAAAATTGGATAGTCCGGGTAACGCAGACGCCATTTTTCACGTTTGAAATTAGCGGTGACACCAAGTCTGTAAGTAACGTTACGGTAGCACTTAAAGCAAAATTTTCCCGACGAGCTTCTCTATTCCACGTATGTTGGAGACTTAAAATAATCCTCATCGCCAGATGTAATATTCAAGGTCTTGAATCCAAGTAACACAGGCTTCAATTGCTCACAGAATATATTATATTGCATGAAAGTAAATAGAAATACAACATACGTCCGTCGCTCACCGAGAGTAGTTCTAGAATGTTCTGTCATGTGGCCTAAACTAGATCACCAGATGTACTCATATTATTACGTCATAGACCAAATATAAGACATAAAATATAGCAGTATTCCATGGACATTACAGAAGCGCCATCAGCACGAGTAAAGGTCATGAAAGTAATTACTACCGTGAATAAATCCTCTGTCTATGCTTTTCATGAAATAGCAAGTTTCCAGAAACTTAAGACCATATGCATGCGCATCGTTATCATTAAGGCAATTAAATAGGATTCACTGATTTTTGAAACTGCTGAACTTTTTTTGTTTGTTATGATATCGCGAATATCTGCAATTTTGGATTTTACGTAAACAGGAATCGCGGAAAAAAATTTGGAAACCACTGCAATACACCATCGTCGGACGGAGTGGGTTCTCAAACCAAATTCTTATTTACATTGGGAGGCTCTTTGCTTCGGAGCTCACTCAGTTGCAAAAGCTGTTGGCGCTCAAGAGCTTTTTCTACCGAAGCTAAGCGTCACAAATTGTATATAGAATTAAATCCACCAAAAAAAATTTTCCGTGATAGTTTCTTTTCATGGTTTCTATTTCGGCGAATGAAATTAGGCAGCACTATCGTTAAGTGTGATTCCCGCATGCAAATTTCGAATCGAGGTTATCTCATGTCAACCCCTACGAATTTCTCACAAAGTTCAACTTGTCGATAATTTACTCCTCTAACCTCAATGGATAGATATATCATACATTTCCCTAGAAGCCAAGGTATAGACATTAGCAAATAACAAAATGTAACGGGCCATGTCCACAGTACATTTATCATGCCGCCCATTGAAAGCAATTTCTCAGCACTAATGACATAATATAAAGTTTGCCGGAACAACTGAAAGAATAGGGTCATGTTTAGGGCTGTCCAAGCGAACCAAATATTCGAAATCGAATCGAAAATTATTCGAATCGTTTTTCGGCTAATTTTCGAATCGCTAAAATTAGGTACCGGTACATGAAGCGGAAACCACCTTCACGGGATGTTTTTCATCCGGCAAGCAACGGCGCTCCGAGCTCAGACCACTCTCGCTCCCGGCTTAATTGGTTTGCCGATATTTCTTTCGCCTTCATTTTGTGATAAACATGTCATTACTAATGCCCGCCCGGTGGCACGTGATTAGCCATTTCATGCATGGTCATCATAACAAGGTATAATCGGTCATGACGTTTTTGAGAGAGAGCAAGGAGAAAAAGGAGACAATTTAGAAAACGATAGTTCTATAAATAGAATCGATTTGAAGCTGTTGAGTTAGTTGTCATAGGAACATGGTACAGGCAACTCAAAGCTGAAACAGGTGTTTTGGGATCCTTATGATGGCAATACCTTCTTTGAATGGAATTTGTAATTTCTTATGATGGCATTACTGTATTATCCATCTATATACCAAGACAAATAATTGCACTCTTGCATTTTGATGGCTGTTGTACACTAACAATATTTTAGTCATCAAATAATATTGTCATCAAACTAGCTTGGAATTTTTAAATGCAATTTTGAACTTGAGCAACAGTGTTATCTATATTGATGGTTGTTATTATTTTGCTGAAATTTACACAAAAAAACATAAGACTAGTGAATAGGAATAAAATAGCATCTACAGGCTTTACATGTCCTATTAAAACTGAATCCATCAAAATTGAGATTGCAATTTTTGAATAGTGCAATTTTTACTCTTAACACTCAACAGTTTGAGACCCAAATTTTGGAGTTCTCCAATTTTTTTGACCAGTCCATACAAGCGTGTGATCTCCTTTCATAAATTTGAAAACATTGTATTGCAAAATACCGGCAGTAAGTAAGATGTAACTGCACATACGTTACCACAACATCGAAGGGCAGGCGTTTATTGTATAATAGAGACAGATTCAATATTGCGCAATAATATTCGATTATTCGGTTCGATTCGGCGGAATCAAAAAATTATTCGATTTTGGACAGCCCTAGTCATGTTATATACGTTTCACGATGACTGTCATTGTGTTTCATACTGCACCCCAGCCAAACATAAGAAAATCAGGCATTTGGTGTTTTTTTATTGTAATAAATTTATTACACTTCATGCCCACCTAAAGGAGATAAAGATGAACGGCCGTCCTTCACTTCATTCCTGTATAGAAAGAAATGAAATCAAATGATCTATCACGCTGTTAAATATAACCAACAATATTTAAAGAGTAATAAACTACCTCTGGAACTTCGATTTCACCATCGTTGATCTCTTCTATAACATCATGCGGTGGTTTGCCATCTACAGTGCAACCAACACTCTGAGCAGTTCCGAGGATCTCCTATAAACGTAATAAAAAAGCTAATATTTAAAAGCAGAAAACGTTAAAAAAGAAGTTTTCATAGCGCCATGGCCACTAAGTGCACATCCTCGGAACTATTTCACTCCAGTGGGTGCATGATTTATGCAAATTAGCGCATCAGTCCACTTTCATTTGCCTCAGAAAAATAAAATAATGATGAAATTTTAAAAATCCAACCTTGACAGTTCCAACTAGCTGTCTTGCCATTGATCGCTCTCTCATAGTTCGTGCAACGTCGAGAATTTCTTCGAATGTCACGTTGCCACTGTGTTTGACTATTACAAAATTGAAATTTCACAACACTTTCAATTAATAATCATCAATTCATCATGATATATTGCAATAATAAAGATGCTTTGATATCGATGTCTGCTCACCGATGGCTTGAATTCCACCAATCGCTTACACGAAAGGTGTGGATAGGATGCCAACCCCAACCATGCTAACTTACTACATAATGTTTTAGGATGGCAGGCAAATGAAACCAACAATTATATGAATTCCGCATACAAAAACATTGAGCTGACACCACTTGAAGCTCAGCTTGAACATTTTGTTTTGGTCGAGGCTTCATTCGAAAAATATGTCAAATGCCGTCCATCACTAATGACAATATGTAGTAAACTCACTGTTTTTCACTTTCTTCCTGTCACGAGGAGGTTCTTTAAGTGCCTTTATGATGAGAGATGATGCAGATGGTACAACGGAAACTGTAGCTTGCCTGAAATAATCGAGAATATTCATTATGTTATAAATGGATAAAGGACTCCTTGCAAGTGAAATTAATAAATGGTGTCACAGAAGCTCAGATCGAAGCCGAATGAAGGGAAAATGAATGGCTCGCAATCAAACTTATGACTTGGTAATAAAACAGTGGAGCAATTTGAATTCTTACTAAACTTTGCTGGTATTGTAGCATGGTATGATTCGTCAAATTTCAGTCTCAAAGTGTGGTACGAGTTCTGGCAAAATCAGTGAAATCTTAGCAGTCATTGAAGAATTATTTTTAACAAGAACACTTTTCCATAGAGAAAATCGAAAGATTCCCTTAAAAATACTAACGATAGCAGACAAATGTAAGGTAGTTCGGCATAAGAATCTAAGAAGCCTAACCTGTTTTGTATAGTGAGTTTAACAGTAATCCTAAGTCCCTTCCAATCTTGTGTTGCTTTAGCAATATCATCTCCCACTTTCTTGGGGCTGAGACCCAAAGGACCAATCTTTGGTGCAAGTGAAGCTGTGGCACCCACTTCACCACCTGTAGCTCTTAAGTGAACTGTAAAGTAAGGGGATTCATAAGAAGTGATTATTAAAAAGCAAAACACTGTAGACCACTAAACAATAGACCAGTGTAAAGTAACGAATATTAATGTAAATATCAGCTTTTTAGTGCCACCTGGGAAGCCAATTTTCCTCAAGGTTAGCATTACGCCGACTCAAAACTGTGACCACAAGAATGCGAAACCGATAAATAGTATAATAAATTTGTATCTCCGCTATTTTTTAAGGCAACCGAATGAAATTTGGGTCAATAAGATAATATTAAAAGAACTTAATGAAACAAAGCTTAAAAATTCTTTCCAATGAATCAAATAGCTTTCGAATTAATTATGGTAAAAACATCTGCACATCAAAATATGGCTCGTTACGACTAGACTACTTCAGAATTTTATTCTGACAATGATTATCGAGGACATCTACTAATTCAGAGTTGGGGTGGAAAATCTTAGTAGACAGTGATTATTTACGGCTGTCTGGGCAATAATTACAGAATTAAGATGTCTTCTTTAGACAAAGTTCATGAAAATTAGTAAGTTTCGAGTTAAAAAAGAAACAGGCACATAATTATAGATTTCATTGTGCATTTTGTCTGAGTTTTATTACATTCCTAGCTTGAAAACTCCAGAAATCTACATGTAACACAATCACTGAATCAGCAGTGCT